AAGTGATCTCAAAAATTTTAGGGACCAGCAGTTGGCATAATGGACTCCCACTGGACTCCCACGTAGTTAACCGCGGTTTGAGTCCCAGATCTGGTGGCTTCAACTCATGCTGGGCACGTGTGTGTGCGTGCCCAAGATCTGAAAGGAAAATGGAAGAGAAGGGGTTGCAGCGTGGCCATCCCCTCTGGGGAGTGATTTCTCACTTTCTGTCTGTCTCTTTCTGGTGAGTGTACGCGCCTTATACTAAAAACCTCTAAAAAAAAACAAAAACAAAAAAACTGTTTAATACATGGGACTGGGATGAATGATTATAAAACCATTATTTGTTATTTAACCATCAGAGTCTTCTATAAAACGTAACGATTTAGCAGGATTAATCCAAACTAATGTTTAAAACCAAACACAAAAATAAAAAATATTTTTTAAACCAAACCAGCAATTTGGTGATACTTATTAAAAAGAAGTATGAATGATGTCTTCAAGACTCATCTCATCTCTGCATTAAAATATCAAACCAGGGCCAGACAGTAACATGGTGATTAAGGTGGGTGGAGCCCACATGGCTGAGTGCACGTTTCAAGTCCCGGAACCACCAGTTTACCAGAATCCTGAAGGGAGAGGAAATAGAGAAGGGACTACATACAGTATGACCATCCTCAGTGGGGTGTGCTTTCTTACTTCCCACTCTCTGGTGAGTGTATGAACCCTCTGGCAAATTAAAAAAACAAGACCAACCCAAGACATAAAAGTTGTATCTAGAGCAAAAAGGAATTTTGATTACATCCGTCAATAAGAAATAGTTTCTATATTTACAGCCTAGTACAGATGTGCATATTACCTCCGTTTTACACACAGAAAATACTCCTCATATATGAATATAGTTATGATTTTTATCCTGCATCATTTATGTTCTTTCCTGTTTCATTTTTTAAAATGGTGGTTGGACCCATTTAATTCATTTAGAGACCCAAGCAGTTTGAAAAATACCAAAGAGATACAAAGGCTATTGGTATTTTCTATGTGCTACTATACTTTTTTTTAAAGAATTATTTTATTTATTATTTTTTAATTTGACCCAAGAGAGTGCAAAAGAGCGAAAGCCAAGCCACCAGGTCCAGGACTTGAACCACCATCAGCCATATGGGAGTCCAGTCCATCACCCACCCTACCACCTGCCAGCCCCTCTACTACAAGTTTTAAAAAGAAAAAGCACAAGCACAACTAATCTTAGCAAGGAAAAACCTGACACTTGCTATACATTGGTAGGGAACTACTATGAAGAAAATACTGTTTTATATTTTCGCTCCTCTAAACATTTTAGAAGGCAGAGAGAAAGGAATGAGAGTGAGAATACTTTATCAATTTGAGAGACTCTGCATTTGATGCAAATTATAACAAATGTTATTTATATTAGTTGCTAACGAGTCAGGCTTTTTCTTAAAAAAAAAAAACAAGCATTTTAACAGTAATTGGATCAGCAAATTATTGTGGTTACTTTTTATGTCACTTAAAATGTGACCTCTTTTCTAAGGGATTACAGTGCAGCCTTCACTGGGTTCTATCTGACTGGCTCCATTTTGTGGATATAGACCAAACTCTTCAGTGAAACAACTGTCTTACAGACATGGGACCATCATCCACTGTCACAAAAGATGAATACGGCTGGCTTAGTAAGCATTAACAAAAGAAAAAAATCCTCTCTTTCCTCACTTTAGGATGAAATTAAGTGACTGCCCCGGCTAATGGCTCTAATGCACTGTGCAGTACCGAGCGGCCTGTACACACGTGGACCTTTCAGTGTGTGGCTTCTACTCGGTGGCTGCTCAGCACTCGCCAGAGATCAGGTTTCTGCAGTCCTACAGTAAGCACAGGCTGGCGAAGAAGCTGATTCTTAGCACAAACACCTATTCCTATCAATTTGTGAAAAAGAATGTAACTGTTAGAAGTTATTTGAGGTTAGAAATGGAATTTGAGTTAATATACATAAAATACACTGAAAAACATTCTCAAGAAGAAGAGACTTTATTTTTAACATAAAACTTCTATTTTCCTGTGAGGCAGCAACAAGTGTTCAGGTACAGGGAATACGTAAGTACACAGTAACAATATCTACCACCATTGGAAATGCTGTTCTGGGGAGAATTTTGTTAGAAAAACAAAGAAGTTTTAAAATTGTGTTAAAAATAAACACAGCTTCAACACAGAAGAAAGATGCAGAGTTTTGTTTTTGTTTTTAAAACATAAATTATATTCTTCAATAGGGCTGTATAAACAAAATATTGTTCAGGGATACTCTGCTTACCAATTTAAGCAGAATAAAAAAAAAACTAAAGTGCAGTTAAATATTTTTAGCTTTGTTTTGCAAATTTAGCACTTCTGTTCATCTGGTTTTGAGACATCAAAGTTCTAAACATTAAGGAATGAATCTTAGATAGTAAATTTAATAGTGGTAATTTTTCTTGAATTTTCCCTAACGAAAGGTCTTGACAAGCCAGTCTTAATCTTAGACACAGAGAAGTCTATAAATTCTGCCATTTCCCCCCATATTCCGGTGAAAGTCAACCATTACAAGGGGGAAAAAAGGCCTTTCATGTTGCCAAATATTACACAGTTAGCAATAGCACCTTCTAAAAGACTGATTTGGCCTGTGTTAAAAAACCTTTTAAACAAAATGGAAAATCTATTAATAGTTCAAAAAACAATTTTGGCATCCATGCTCACCGTTTTTAACCAAAAAAGCAAAACCGGAATTTAAAAAATGTCATTGTTCATGAAAGTCATGACAAGTACTAGACTTAGTCAGGATCAAAAACAGTACATTCATATAAGTTTTATCATCATGAGGATAAACTGTCTGAGGGTTAAAAAGTAACTAAGACTGACAAAGTAAACAGCCAGAGAATAGCTCCTTCTGCAGAAAGATACATGCACCCACTCACGTCCTTCTTCCACTGTGATGGAAATTATTTAAAATTTAAAAAAATATTTAAATTATGTTCCCATTGAATCTATTCTATTCACTTTCTGTACAGTTTTTCACAGAATAACACAATAATTATGAAGCGTTCATTTAAGAAAACAAATGTGCATTCTATTGAGTAGACTCATTATTAAAAAAAAAAAAAATCAAACACCTGGGAACTAAGAGTTAAATAAAACAGGTAACAGACCTATGGTTAATATTTTTTCAAGACTGTGATAAAGCTTATATGTTTAAAAATTAGCCCTTTGGCACTGGCAGTTAGAGTTGTTCTGTACCTTGTACCTTTTTTTTTTTTTTTTTTTTTTTCCAAATCTCAGGCTCTATTCTCCCAAACCCAAGGGGTATGTTTGGGCGCCACACAATTCATTTACTTGCACATTCTCCCTACAACCGAACAGAGACTAGAAGTTCTATTTGTAAGACTATAAATAATAAATCTGAAACTTGTTTGTCCATTCTGATTTTAAATTCTTTTTAGATTAAGGATACATGGAACTACAGAAAGATGTGATTCTGACAAATGTAGACAACGTTAAAAAAGAAAACTTGTTTACCAAGTGGCATTTTAGTTATAAAATACTCATGTGACTAGCAGGAAT